ATACCATGGATTTGAGGTATTCAAGGGACGTCATTCGGAAGTGCGGAGGACGTTCCAGGAAAGTCTCGTTGAAATATGACAGATTGTGAATCATCCTCATTTTCATGGACCCTTTCTTCGGCAGTAAGAATATTGGAGAATAAAACCTGGTGTTGTGACGGGATGCGGGAGTAATTCGATGGCTCTTTTCTCCAACAGAATCGCTATGTTCTTTTAAGAGGTCGTGTTGAATCTGATTGTGCCAGTACGGGAACAGCGTCAGAGGTGGATCGGAGAGGAGGGGGAGCTGAAACCCCTGCCTCAATATATCGGTGATGTATGGATCCTCTAGGATGGACCAATTTTCCCAAAAGATCCCTATTCTCCCACCTACCGGTGTAGGATAAACTGGGACGACTGGAGGTGGGAGTGTCCAGTCGTGCATGTCCCTCACTTCACTTGCCCCTACGTCCGTCGCCCTGGGCGGGAGCACGGCGACATTGATATCCTCCCCTGTCTGATCTAGGCTTGGCACCACGTCCCCTGCCACGGGACGGCGCTGTATTTCTGGCACGCCGAACAGACGGTCGTCGAGGCTGGTAGGTGTTGCATGGCATGGAGGAAGAGCGTTGTCCCTTTTTGAAAAGCTTTCAGTGCTGTCTCCCCTTTAGCAAATTCACATACCTCACAATAAATGCCATGTATGGCGTTGTTAAACAGTGTTGACGGCTACTAGGGTTGGTGCAATAATTTTCGTTGAAACTCTGAATCCCATGAAGAAAAGGAGAGGAAACCATGCCGATTAATGACGCACGCGTTGGCAACGCTGACGGAAGGTGCTCACGCAGGTCAGTGAGTACCTTGCCCTGCCACAGCATCATAGTAGTGAGATGATCCAGTCGATCAGGATTTACTTCCTTAAGATCCTGAGTAATGGCATCACTCGCTGACGCCAATGCCGATATAAGGCAGAGCATACGCTTAAGTTCCAAGTCCAAAGCAGCTACCCTTGTGTCCTGAACTTTTATAGGAGGATACAGAGGAAGAGCCTGTCACACGTTTTATCTCCTCATCCACCTTAGTCACTGTCTGGGCAAAGTCCAAGCCATGAATAGGATAGTAATCACGCCGGACTCTAGGCGTTTTAATAGTTGGGTTGAGAGACATCCCCGCGAAATCTTCATCAAGTGTAGATAGAATCTCCCTGACCGCCTCATGTGTCGGTAACATTAAGGAAGGCGAGTCCCAAATGGTAAGCGACTTTGCAACATCAGGTCCTGGTGAAGGGACTGAGGCTATCAAACGATCAGCAATCCAGCCAAACACGTGATCAAAACTGAGGTGATTAGAGCCCATGTCCTCGTCATAGTCTGGGGCAAAGTCTCTCTCTGAGGACGGTGAACGAAACGGCAATGGGGAACGGCTACGTGCAGATGATGCGTTAGAAGAAGACGCCTTGCTCCGAGGTCTCGACCTATGGCCGCCTGCCGAAGACGTGGAAGCAACGGGAAACGTCGGCAGAGGCACAGGGGCTGACACAGTAGACAGGATAGGCACCGGTGCTGGAGGAGGCACAGGGGCTGACACAGTAGGCAGGATAGGCACCGGTGCTGGAGGAGGCATAGGGGCTGACACAGTAGACAGGATAGGCACCGGTGCTGGAGGAGTCATAGGGTCTGACACAGTAGGCAGGATAGGCACCGGTGCTGGAGGAGGCATAGGGGCCGACACAGTAGACAGGATAGGCACCGGTGCTGGAGGAGGCATAGGGTCTGACACAGTAGACAGGATAGGCACCGGTGCTGGAGGAGGCATAGGGGCCGACACAGTAGACAGGATAGGCACCGGTGCTGGAGGAGGCATAGGGGCACTTAACTACAATAACAAGAGAAACTGAAAGATAATACCTACACTTCTCGTAGAAGAAAAAAATAAGAATACACACAAAGCCAGATTAATAACCACACACAAAATATCCTGTAGGATACAATGAACAGCTGGCAATCCACACGTCTAGTCTGAGGTGGCTGACGTCACCTTCCAGTGACGCATGTGCAGACGAGTAGCAGCCGAGACCAGGAAGTGATTGCAGTTCTACGTCTTTTAACATCGTCTGGCAAGCCACACTTTTCGAGTCATAAGCAATAAGTGCAGGAAGTAAGTAGTGCAGGATTAGTTAAAAATCTATAATATATGGTACAGTCAAACCTCAATGTCTCAAACTCGGTTAAGACGAATTCTCGGTTGTGTCGAACTCATCTCTCAGTCCCTGCTGATTTCCTTATATTTATCATTATTTTTACCCTGATGTCTCGAAACAGATGTGTCGAATTCCCAGTTGCGTTGAACGTATTTAGGGTCTCCAAAAGCCCTAACAAGTACAAATTTACCTTTTAGTCATTGATAACTGCCCTTCATATCTGACTGACTGACTGACTGACTGAGTTTTCGCCGCTTTTAGCAATATTCCAGCAATATCACGGCGGGGGACACCAGAAATGGGCTTAACACATTGTGCCCATGTGGGGAATCGAACCCGGGTCTTTGGCGTGACGAGCCAATGCTTTAATCACTAGGCTACCCCACCGCCCCCCTTCATATCTGAACTTAACTGGGTTTACAAACGTTTAACTCATATTTTTGTCTCCCAATATGAATAAACCGATTGAATTAATTTAAGTAGTAGAGGGAATGATTGTACGGGACCAAGTCCAACAAAAGCCTCTGCAAAGCCTTATTTGGGGAATAAGGCTTTGGTCGGACCCTTAGCTCTTGCTACCATTACCCCTACTATGAAAAAGTTTGGGACGCTAGCGGGATGCGAACTCCCGCGGCTGAAGTGTGTATAACGTGCCGCTATGACATAGAAAGATAGAAAGGTTCTAAAAAGTAGTAAAATGTCCCCGGCAGCCACAATTCCCCAAGGGTGAAATCGAAAGATGATGTTGCGCTTCCTCCCCTTGGGAATTGTGCCGGCTGCCTTTCTCTCACCATGAGAGTGCCCTCTCAGCTAAGTGCTTTTAAGCGACCCAACTGATATGATCTTGATTCCTTACCGAAACACCTCACATCACACAAAGTTGCAAGGAATCTCCTGAGGCAACGGCGGGATACTGAACCCACATGTATAGCTTTCGCGCAAACTATACATAATGGGCCGCACCACTCAACCGATTGAGCTACCGGGGACATAGCTGAATCATCTCGGGTTTAACGGGTCTATCCTGAACTAGCACTTTCCTGATCACGTGACACTATGCGGTAACACTGTGCCGCACGGTACGATCAATAATTCTTCTCTTACAAAACCTCTGCCCGGCCCATCCCTCAAGTAGTACAAGTTAGGCTCGTCTGCTTTAATGTCCACTTTATCTATGTTGTAAGTTTTGACTGACCATATAGGATCGGTGGCTCGCTTACGGCTATCACCCTTGTGTTCCCCATGCTGGTATAGATACCTCACTAGGACCCTGTCTGGTATCTGTTTCTCCTTCCCACGTAAAGGAGCGGCCGACTGTGCAACTATTGATTTTAGTTTGATAGCGTCTGCCGGCTTTTTACCGGTTATAGGAGCCTTAAAATCTGTAGGGCACCATGAGTTTCAGCAACCCCAATGCAATGGGACCAAAAAAGCCCAACATTTCGAGATTTTCCATTTAGACATTTGGTGCCCAAGCATGTATACAGCGACCTATTCGTATTTCCAGAAATATGGCAACCGAAGCAACTTTCGAAAATATGGGCTTGCGAGTCGAAAAAGCAGTGGCATACCACCTCCTACTGGAAAATACCGTGGGAAGCAATCTTCTCCCGGACATTGCCCGTGTAGACTATCTCGATGGCCATCTCGGCAAAACAAACCTCCAACCACTGGAAGGCCTACCTACATTTGTGGACGATATATATGTATTTGGCTATCTTCGTGAAAAGACTGTGTCTATAAAAGGAGCCGTGTATTGCACCATCGGAGAAAAAGGAACAGCATCTATTGTAGTTTCCAATATAGCGAGTGCAGTCTGGGAATCTTCGGCAAGAGGAAGGCTACGTGCAAACCAAAATCGTACATACGCTACAATATACCATAGATGCCCCCTCTGCAATACGGAGCACTGTACGAAGAATCGAGAAAGAAACCAATTCTGCGGCAAAGATACAATGGGAATCTCTACATCGAGATCGACCCGATATTCGGAATATTCGTGGCAAAAGTAGATGTCTCGAAATACCTATGGAACAAATACAAGCCAATATTTCCAAATTGAACGATTTCTATTGGCACATGGCTTTGGCCTGTATTCTATCGACTATACCAAGGATTTCTCTGGCACCCTAGATAGAAAGTGTCTCGTGGAATACCTCCAAAGGATATACACGACTTTCGAAACCAAAGAGATCTTGCAACTGCCATGGACTGCGAGGGACCCACCATCCTGGACAATACAAGAAGTGTAGGCAACCACGTCTGTACTTGGGTTGGAACCTGGAATGGCTATACCATGCGAACAAAAATCTACAACAAAGTAGTTTCCAATTTGAAGCCGGAGAAGTCGCGAGCACATCGGTGGCCATTTGGCCGACTATGCGGGATTGCTCCAACGAACACCTGCGGAAAACCTTTCTCCATCCAGATGTCCAGGCTAGAGGTTGTACTCGCATAGAGGTCTCTTTGTGCGCGCATAGAACCAACACCACAATGGCCAACGATTTGGTGGACGAAGCACTAGAGTTGTTCTCGGGGAAAACCTATTTGTAGTACAACCACCAGCAAAACAGTGGGAGAATCTATCGAAATGTCTAGACCGCTGCATGGTGCTTGCAGACAGACCCCAGGGACTATCTTCGTGGGCTGGTATGCACACACGCAGACGCGGGAAGAGTTTCGAATCCAAATACAACCAACCAAAGCCAACGTGGAAGACGATGCTAGATGGAACCACGCTGTAGAATGGGCTACAGCTGATTTTGGGTTTCGATCGTGTCCTCTATTCGAGTAGACATTTTGGCTGCCACAGCTACAGGAGTAGAAATAGGCCCACTACGATGCTTGGCACAAAAGCTCCCCATCTGAGAGCTATACTATCTCAAGTCGTAGGCCGACACAGCTACATCTCCAAGGCCCAAATCCAGATCGATGCTACCCCGAACAAACATGTTGCTTTGAATGGCGAAAAAGACCAAAAAACGCCATCGGCATAGAAACTTCAAATACGAGATAGAGGAGGTACCGGAAATCGGGCCGATCGTACTATACTGTCTTGGTCGACGAGAGATCGCGAAAGACGATTGGAAGAGATTTTGCATGCTGCCAATGCAGAAGAATGGCGTGAGATGCATGGAATGCGCCTCAGAGTCGATGCGCGAGGAATACAAACAGAACGAAGAAAACGAATGGAGGAAGTCCATCACCTCGAAGAGATTGTCGCTGCCAAAAGACACTATGCAGAGATTTCGAAAAAGCACAGGAAACAGTCGAAAACGGCCTCTCCCTCCCTAGCACAATTAAGCCTGTCTTGCCTTCGGGCTTAAAAAACTATTCCGTTCTTGGATGGCATTATACAGAAATCCAAATGGGACTCCAGCAAGACTTCCTACAGAGTCCTTGTGGAAACAACGACGAACCAATAGCAATTTGGGCAAACAAAGGCCTAGAACGAATTCTCTCCGCATGCAACAAGTTTGCGGAAGAGAAATGCGATAGGTGGGGCGAACTACACATTGGACTCCCAATGGGCCAATTTCTTTCGCAGAGAGCCTAGTAGGAGTTTCAAACAGAAAATGGTGTTCCAATCTATTGGAATCCAGTGTCTGTCGTATCGTTGCCAGATGCTATGGAAGAATCTGTTCGTCGAGCACTTGCTACAGAATCTGCAGTGCAAGATCTCGAAAAGACTACACCAAAAGGCAATAGAAGAAACGAATCCAACCAAAGCCAACGAAACAACGCTGTTATATTCGATATGCTTCCTGGGGAATACATTTGTTGGAAATTTGCTTCTACAACCTATCGCTAAGGAAACCAGAGAACCATATTGTGGCTGGTTCCGACTGCAGATGGAGTGGAGACAACAGGCGACATGTACCCGTGTGTGGATTCTATCTAGAAAGAAATCGAACGGCTCGGAGGACACGATGCTCTTGAACAGCGAAACTCCAATTCTCTGCTCCATCGGAAAGCGAAAAGAACCCCACAAAAGAACGACAGACTCTGCACGCTAGAAATTGCAAGGTCTACAAGACAACATGGCCAGTAGAGATGCAGAACAAAATCTTCCACGATGGGCTACTGGATACAAACAACGAGAGACCAGTTCTTCCACTCCTTGGCGTTTCTGGAGAAATATGTCCAAGTATGGTAGGAGTTTCTATTTTCTCGGCAATGTGTTCCAGATCTTGCAAGGAATTGTATTCCACACTGGGTATGTTTGCTAGTAGGGCATTTTGAACTCCTGGAATGGGAAGCGGGGTGGATTCCCTCTTTTGTATACAATATGCATGCTCGAGATGTATACACAGTACAGTATATACTTCAATTGGGCACAATATTTTTTTTTCTAGTCCATTTGAAGGGGTCCCTATGTTTTGGTGTTGCTGTTGTCGCTCGTGGGCCTGCTTGTGGACCGGGCGGTGGTGGTGTGCTGTGCTTCCAGGTGTTGTGGATGACCTTCCAGAGAAAAACAGCGGCTAGCTTAAAGGTAGGTCCACCTTTGGGCTGTTTCTAGCATCTGCCGCGACCTTCTGGATATCCAGACGGGTCTCTTCTTGCTCCTCCTCGACGCTCTATTTCCTCTTCCTCGTCGTCCTTGTCCAGCATCGACAAGATGTCGACTCAACAAATTCGTGGTTTGCTCCACACGAGCCGGCAA